TCCGATCGAACCGTTGCTCTTCGGTTTGTTCGTACTGTTCTTTTCCGGAAATCAGTCGGCTAGTTGGCAAAGTTTAGCAAGCTAAACGTAGAATGTCAGTAAGATAGTGATGTCTGTTGGGCAACACATTTTCCCACACACTACGTCGCTTTCAAAAGCACTTTATACCTAAAAGTCGTTAAAAAGATGTCGGGTTCGCTTTCCGCTGCCACCAGTGTAGCGTCCCGAGGCTTCCAATGGGGTGGTAGAAGGCATAAGTGCGGCTGAATACATGTATTTCGAAAGCAATAGGTGAAATGGGACCTGAGCGTGGCCCGAAGGCCAGCTCACGTTTACAGGACCCAGACAAGTCCTAAAGTGACCGCCAAACGTCAGATAGTTGCATAAACAAAGCATTAGAGTAGTGTCGACAATGGCACTACGGTTACCCTATGCACACTAAGACAGTGGCTCATCCCGTTTTGCTTGTAACATATCTGTTGTAGACCAGAGTTCCATTGTCGATTCCTGGAAGCAATTAATGTTCAACAGGTGTAAGCGATCTCGAATCTGGTCGTCAGATCGAACGTAACACCAGATCCAGTTTAAGCTGTCTAGGAGTCCAGGGGTGGTTTTTTAGTCTCATGCTATCTGTCAACAGACGCGGTTGGCTCGAGAGTGCTTTCGTGTTGCACCGAATGTGTTGTGATGACTGGGACGGATGGTGTACCAAAAGGAAGTGCAAGGACAGCGCTCAAAGGAAAAGAAAAACAGTGTAATTTTTGTTTGTGTGATTGATTGACGTTTGGCGGTGACTTTAGGATTGGTCTGGTTCTTGTACACGTGCGCTGACCTTCGGGACATGCCCAGGCCCATTCGTCCTGTCGTCTTCAGAATACATGTATCCAGCTGGACTTACAGACTTGTTATACTGGCTAGGAAGTCTTAGGATGCTAAAATCATTATGCGATTTTGAGCATGTCATCGAAGATGCCTCACAACAAAAAAATTTTTGCATGGAACTACTAAAAAAGCAAAATAAATCAAAAATTTAAAAAAATTAAAAATACAATGTTTTAAGGCAATGTTAAGCATAAATTTATAATAATAAGATTTGCAAAGTTTGTTAATGGCATTGCAATGGTGCGCAACTTTTCGGAAACTTTGTGTAGGTTAGCCCTACAAACTGTCCGTCTTGGAAGCCTTTACTTTGATTCGGTCAGTTCTTCCTAGCGTATATCAAATGCCTTTTATTCTGTCAGCGTGTTTGTATTTGAAATGTTTATAGTGGCCATTTTTGCCTGATATGGCTGTGTTTGAAGCTTTGAGCTTAAAGGAACTAAATTACTTTTGTCACCAGAGTGACCCTTGAAATTGCATCCTCCGATTTTTGTATGCGTGTTTTAGGGGTCAAAACGATGCTCTTTCCCATTGTGAACTCATCAGCTGTATTTTTTTGATGTCATTCGTTTGATAAGTCTTCTGCGCGGCCTCTTTCATTCTGTATATGCTTTACGTTTGTATTTCGAATATGTCACAGCGTTAATCTAACATTGATATTTTGACTATTACTTCGTTTTCTTTACGTCACATGGTGAATGGATGCCTTTTCTCACCTATCTAATTTGATTTTAATAGCTTGACATGAAGTTTTGCCGGAGGCTTGTTGTGTCTTTCGTATTCTATGCGTTTTGGGGAATTTCTTATCGAGATTTCTTCGAGTTTTGTGCTTTTGCCGTGAGATAAATTTATCTGGTGAATCAGGATTCCCACCGGAAAACAATTTCCTAAATATTGTGCAGTTAGGTTGTTAGCATTAGTGTGTTTCCTTTCACGTTAATACTGAAAAGTTTAGTCGCGTTGTCATATCATTTATTTGTAAAACATCATGACATTTTCCATTTATTAACAAGAACCTTACTTATGGTGGCTTTATGGGCAGTGGTTGCATTTTAACCGTAACTGTTTTCTCTCCAGGTTCTCTACGTAAACTGCTAAATGGAAGCCACGGATATCCCAAAAAGCGATGGTGATCATTTACTTTAGTCCTTACGTACGAATTCATAGTTTCGATCCATTAGGATTTCAAAGATTTTTTAATGCTACAATTTATTAGTCTCGATATCATAATGATTTTTTTTTCATTGTGTGGAACTCGTCTTTTAAAGGTCAACCGTTTTTCATTTTTATTATGGTTTTGGTGCATCTCTACTTTCAACCCTTTTTTTATTGTTGTTTCTGCATACGATATGGTGAAGTGAGGTTGTGATGCTATTTCGCCTGTATTTGATGGGTTAGTGTTTCCTCCAAATATATTGCTTTTGAAGATGAACCAACTTTCCGACCTCCATCTCAGTCAGGATGTCAAACCATTAAAAGTCAAAGTGTCTCCAACGTTCAGCCGCAGAGTTCAAATGACAGCGCTACCACCGTCTCCAGACCATTTTATCCCCTCTCTTACACTCTCCCATCTCCTAAGAAGCCAAGTAAGTTAAAGTTTTTATTCTTATGCAGTAGCTCAGTGTTACTGTCCATCTAACTTTGATGACCGCTGATTGTTATGTCAACTTCGTTCGCTTCTTTGAGTTACAATAATATTGCGTGCCTTTTGTTCTTTTAAAATAGCCTAAGATCATTGGTACCACTCGCATTTCAACTGCTCTTAGCGTAGCTGCTTAATGTTAAGCTACTATGCTTCGGGTCGCATAGAAAAGTATGACCGATACGTTAGCAGTGACTTTGTTAGGTTTTAACATGCCCTTGAAAGGAGAATCAAGTCCGTAAGTATTGCACCATAGCAAATGCGCCACATGATTAGCCTTTTTATCGCATGATTTAGTTTGTTTGAATTCCACTAGCTTCCTTCTGTCTCTGTAATGTTGCCTCGGGCAGGGCCAATCGTAACAATAATCGTTGAATTTATGCGTCATTGGGTCAAGACATTTGTTTAAAAAACCATCCGTTACCCTCATGTTTCAGCTCAACCTCCACCTCCTGTACCCTCACCTGGAGTAAGGTCGGGAAGCCAGAGCTCCCTTTCCACTGCCACTCCTTCCTCTCTCTTAGTGGCTCCACCCAAACCTCCCCGTGCAAATATTAAATCGGTGGGACCGAAAAAGGAGAAACCCGTTGGGAACTTTAATGCCTATGAAACTGTGAGTTTCCAATTCACCTACGAGATTTTATTGAATCAGCTCTGTCGCCACCTGCTTTATGTATATGCTAGGTGATCGTTGTGCTTTTATGAGATGTTCTAACCCTATTCATAAATTCTAACTAATAGGGTAGGGGAACGTGGATACCTTTTGTTCTTAAATGAGTTTGTGCTAAAGCTAAATGAGGGATTGCACGACCTCCTTATTCACCTTATTACACAATCAAAGTGTTAAACTGAGGACTATATTTTACATTCAGCGTGACCCGTTTTATTTTACGTAAAGCAGCAGAATCTGCTTCTGAGGCCTGATTGAACACATCCTAAACTTTTTCATTCTCTCTACCCTTAAAATCTATGGAAAAAGGCCCAATTCATTAGTTACCCAGCCCATGTTGCAGAACAAAAACAAATTAAATAAATATCAAAACTTGGCATTCTGTCTGCTGTGAAAATGAGCAGATAAGATGCGTCCCTGTGCAATCCTTTAGACTCTAAGGTGGAGATGGGTTAGTGACAGTTATAACACAGTATCTTGTTTTTTTTAAAATTCCTTTCCTTGTTATCGTGAAGGAGCACTTGGAATAGTAGCTAAACTTATTTGTAAAGCCTTCATTTGTTACCCCTCTATCATTGTCCATGCCGTATGACTGCGGCATTGCTAATCTACGCACATCGCACTCCATCATATTGAACTCTGTTATGTCAACAAACCTATTATTCATCGCTGACCGAGAAGTGCGTTTGTGCATGCACACGATTTCAGTATATCCATCTCATGACAACATCTGTGAGACAAGGACGACTACGAAGGCAACGCATTAGCATTTTCAATTACAAGGATGGCAACCGTGGTGCTAGCACCAATGACATTTAGTCAAGAGATGAAAATATGGAAATGAATTGGGCTCACGTCACGATAACATAGCTACTTTGTTTTCTCTTTTCCTTCCTGTGTAAGTATCTCTTCATTCAATCATGATTCACTAAATCGGTTTTAAGGCGAAGAGCTCGGGTTTTGAATGAGTAAAGTATTTTTCTCATTTCTCTTCTGCAAGGAGGATCAACAACGTGAAGACGAGCAACGGCTCAAGGAGGCATTTCCTCTGCAGTCTAAGAATATCCGAATGCGGCATCCTGGAGGCTGGATCGAGAGGACTGACGAAGACGGAAACAGTTTCTACACTCATCCTGAGTCGTCGGACCAGGTAATAAATTTGTTTGGACTCTGACCCACACCGCCACAGTCTTACTCATTCAATGAGCAAACCGCCACTCATATCTGTTAATCTTTATTGCAAAAATTGCGTCTCCTCTCCGTGGTTGTGCGTTTCCGTATTGTTTTTTTGCGTATGCGCATGTTCATTACTGTCGTTTACTTATCACGTGCTGGACCTGCAAAATTCACATCCATTTTAATAGATCCCATCTTTTCTGGCGCCTGCGATCTATCTTGGTAGTTTCATCACTATACGCTCCTCGAGTTTTATAGAGTCTATTAATTCCTAGTTTGCGATTTTTCAACTTGGCATTAATTCTGTCAAAGTTTACATGGCCAAAGTCAGGGGCTTCATTTCTGCTTCAAAATTGATCTGTTTTCTCCACACCACTATGCGTTATACAGGTGAAGGCCATTAAAATTAGGCTTTTGTGAGAAGAGATCCGCATATTCTTTGCATGCATACGTTACTAACAGTCAAATTTCAACAGGACTTAACTTTTTTAACGCTCTGAGATGGTTTGTACACATAAAACGGTACTTCCAGGTAGTTGATTTCATCACATGACTGGCGGTGGTGGTGAGGGGGCATGTGAACTTGCTTCCTAACAGGGTATCGCATGCACGTCACGATCACGACGTTTCGTTTACTTCATCGTTGTTATATTTTTACTGGTTAATATCTCGCAGTGGATTAAGGTGGTGAGTAGCAACGGTCAAACCTATTTCTACGAAAAGGCTTCGCGCAAGTCCGCGTGGGATCTCCCCACACTGGAGCCGCGGAACGTCCCCATCACACCTGTGTCGTCTAGACGACCAATGAGTACGATCGGCGAACTTCTCTCAGCTCCTGTCAACTGTTACACTCCAGGGACCATCAACACCATTGATCTTAGCGAGGCTCAGGCCAAATTCGGCGCTCGCAAAATTCCTGTCTGTGTAAGCCATAGCACTGTTTAACCTCTGAGATTTTTGCGAATCACGCTCATGGCAATAGAACCCATAGCGGCTAATAGCCTTTGTCAAATATCTCAAACTAGTGCCTTCTGACACAATCTATTAACATGCTTACAAGTTAGTGCAGAAGTTAAGTGCTTTAGTTAATCTCGGAAAAGGCGGGGTGTACATAAGTGCAAAATTTTGTCATTTGCTACGGCCATGGTACGATAGTACTGACTTGAGACAGAGTAAACGGCCGAAGCAGCTGTTGGTGTCATGATACTTCTCCCACCGTTTGCTTTTTAAAAGTCTTTCATCGACCCACGTTGGTTGCAGAAAAGCGGTGACAATCTTTCGACATTGTCTGCACAAGAAGACGGCTCGAGCCGATTCTACCGGGTCTCAAAGGATCACATCACTGGACCCATCGAGAACAAGATCCGTGTAAGTCATCACTTTGAATGCTTCCAGATATTTTGAGAATTTAAGCAGTACGATTAAATGTTTTAAACTTCATGATGCCATTGGTTTAGGCGACAGAGCGACGAGGTCAAGTAAATTTCACCAAATACTCAGTAAACGGGGTTTCTGTTCCCAAGAAGTGGACTCCCTCAATCCTTGTTCTCATCGGGCCAATTCTTTACGTCTATAAGGACTCAAAATCGCAAGTGAGTCCACGTCTTGTTTCGGTTTTTCAATGGGAACGCAAAGTTCGAAGAATCACTAATTTGTGGTATGGAGGAGAAATTTTATTGGCACATCTCTTTATTTGAAGCTCGATAGTACACAGCCGTCAGCTGGGATTGTCTTTGAGTCATACCTTCTCTGGGATTACTTTTCTTCATCTGTTTGCCCCAAGAATCTTGATTATATGTGAAGTTGAATCTCTATATTTAAAAGTTATGTCTACTCTTCTATGGGACTAAATGATAGCATGAGCAATGCGGCTCCTTGCTACCAAAGAACTTGAATTTGACTTTCGCACTTTATTTCCTCGATCCCTTCCTTTTGCTCGTTGAAATTCCCAACAGCTCGCTCCACCATCCCCAGATTCCGCGAAATCTAGTGGGGTAGTCTCATCACGAGGTGGGACGAAAATATCCGATTCAGGAATGAAGTTCTTCAACTTCCTCTATGTAAGCTCAAAGTGAAGCAATAGTTCTCTCGCCTCTTGCCTCTCGCCATTTAACTTGCCGCATTCAACGATTCCTACTAACTTGGCTTTGTTTGAGTCGTGGCGCTTTGACGCGTCTTCCCTCGGTTCCACATTTCCCATTCTTCCGAGATCTTCGGTTATGCGTTCATCAGTGCTCTGCTTCTTCTACATCTGCTAATGGAATGGCCTAACTGGCTACGATCCCCTCACCACCGCATTCCACATATTAGTCTCGCGCTCCTTCTCATCTTGCTTAGTTACACTGCGTTTGTTGTAGATGCATGCGCTCCTTCACTCATCACCTGTTGTGTTATTAGTAACTATCATGGGAAATTTTCAGAAAGGTAACACTTAAATCTTGAAGTCACTACATGGTTTCCTACTGTCGCAATCTTAAAGGGATGCGCCATAGTCACTTTTTGAATTAAACTGTTGAAGGTAGCCCTCCTTCGAGGCATTCCTCATCAGCCTCCTTCATATGGAAAGCTTGCTCCCCTAGATTTGCGGCTTCAGTTTTGCCGCTCTATTGAGTACCGAGAGCTTTTCATATTCACCTTCGCTTACTATTTATTGGTTGCCTTTGAAATGCTTTGATTTTTTCTTTTTAATTTGCTTTCCTCACCTACCTGTAGCAGTATTCTTTTGCATGGCATGAGCATTGAACTATGACATTGTCCTCGCTTCTCATAAATCACCTTTTGGTTTTCAGAAGGGCTCTGGTATATCGGGAAAACCGGAGCTGGAGTCGCATGTGAAAAACCTTCAAATATCTTCTGCTGACAAGACTTACACCACTCGGGAGCACACCTTCGTGGTGAGCAAGACTCTTAACTTGATTCTTTTGCTCACAGATATATTAGCGCATTTTAATGCCCCAACCAACACAGGGTCTATTGTATCTGAGAGGGATGTGCAAACGCCCTTCTTTTATTCTCCTCAAGCTTCACTGACCAAGCTTAAAGTGTAGTGCGGATTTGGAGCGTGGCCTGCGGGAAAACTCAATCTCCTGAGGTGAAAAATGGGTTTCATGAAAAATTGCACTCCATATGCATAAATAGCGTAAATTTAAGCTAAACGGACCTGCCCGATGCTGATTTCCTCTTTTAATAACCATAATTAACAGAAGGTGTATCTGTGCGACTAAGGGGAGTACGAATTCTTCAATAATTTTTTTCGCTGCGCTATCGCCAATTGACTGTCAACTTCCTTATGAATTACGAAGTGAGAATTCTTTTTAATCTTTCGTGGGGCCAAAAACAGGTACTTGAGTAGGGATTTGCATCTGTCACTTTGTGCGATCTTGAACAATGCTGACTGTTCGTTCTGCAAAACTCCATGATTGCGAGATGTATGGGCGAAACTGTCCCACCAATACCAATTGCACTGAGCCTAAATTTAAAAATAAGTAATACAGGAGTCTGAGCCTTCGAGTTTTCCCTCTAAGGCCGTTTGTACAGTGAGTAGACGATCAAGAAGCTGAGGAGGGATTGAAGGAGCATTGTTGTGAGGTTGTGATACGGATGGATTGGGTCTTACTGTCTGATCGTCTGAGCAATATGCACTGGGAAAAGAAAGACGGGCGTTGTCACCAGCATTGTTTCCACGCGTACTTTTGCCCACTTTGCTCTAGCCTCATTTGCAATAGCATTCTGTGCCTAGGCTTGGTTTGCACTATTGAAAAGCATTGTCCTGAATAATCTATTAGCACAACTACCATCAGCAATACCACTCCTTCTTTTACTGTGGTTTGCGTAGCCTTAAGTTTAATTCGACTGCACTTAATCGGCGTTTACAAATATTAAGAATTCGACTTTTTTCTCCCAGTTGAAGGATTCCACTGACCCAGACAATGTTGTCGAGTACCTAATAGAAGTGCCTTCTGCGGACCTCCGCAGGGCCTGGGAAACAGCTCTTCAGTACTCTCAGGACTTCGTTGTAGGTTTTTTTTGAATTACTGGCTTTAAAACAAAGTGGTGTCTCAGCTGAGTTTGTGTCATTACTTTTGAGCAAACTCTGGGAGTCTTTCGAATTTGCCTCACTTTATTGTTCTTCACTTTTTCAGAAGGAGGATCGGTTTGACAGAAGAGTTCTCTCCACCCGTAGGTCTAGCGTTAGCTTGTATGATTAACTGTGATTTGTTGGCCTCAAAGTCACTGTATTTGGTGTTTATTTGTGTACCTTAATGTGTAGCTTTCTTTTCCGAACAGGACCGCCTCCTGGTGTTGACCAAAAGGTGATTGTGATGCTTCGCGAATTTTTTCGCAAACGACCCACTTTGGAGAGCATTCGCGAGGCAGGCATCCTTCAAAGTGAGCTTCCTTTACCATAAACTCTGCTTTTCATAACGCGTCTAATTTTCTGCTAATGCCAACGACCACAGGTTTTTACGATTCGCACAGACGCCCAGAAGCGACCCGTATGTTGGTGTCTGTTCTCGTTTGCAAATTGGTGTTTGTTCTGTGGGAATTTGGTCACTTTTATGTGTTACCACCTTCTGGAGGCTCGATGAGTCTTTGGTAAAGTTTGTGTCGGCATTTGGCAAGTGCTGGTGACAATTACTGCAGGCAGCAGTGTCAGAAGTGGATTTCAGTCATCTTTTTATTCCCTTAAAGCATCAACGCAATACTGCTTAAACGAAAGATTGTGCACTCCATCGCCTTGATTTATCTCACTCAAAGTGATCAGGGCGGTAGCATTGGCAAAAGAGGTAGCTAGTCGTTGAACTTCCTTTTGCAAGCAATCAGTCGAGACAATAATCGGGTGAATGCTGGTCAAAAGAGAAGAATAAAGGCTTTGTTTTGCTAATTCGTTATTCATTAATGAAGAGTTCATCATTCATCTAAAAAGTGCATATTCACCGGCGGAATCGCTGATAGTGTAGATTGTGTAGCTGGACCAATTTTCACTTACAAAAGCATTGGTGGCGAAATAACTAATCTTACTGCGTTTTTTGTTGTTTGTTTGGTTGATTGTACCAAAACTGCGATGCGTCGTCCGAACTGGAAGTTCACGAACTAGCGTTTCAAGGAATGCGAGTTTCTTGGACGGTCTGGAATCCAGATGTATCAGTGAATCTGTTGATGCCACGGCTTGACCTCGTGAATCGTTTAATATCACACTCACGACCTGAATATCTGCGTAGGTATGCACGAGTAGTAACCATTGCCAGGGTGCTGAGCATTGGGTCAGTTTCCGGACGTTCTGCCTTTTATTGCATTCATCACCGGGAGTGGACTCCACGACCTGATGTCGGAAACGGTTCATCCGTCTAATCATCACAAGAAGGGAGGGGAGACAAATGCTGAGCTACGAAAAAAAAGATTGGTTGCTGACCTAAGCTCACTTTTCTCTCACTCTTGCTATGTATGGTGATGTGTAGACTCTTATGCCATAATTGGTGAGACGCGGTGGCATTACATTTGTTCATGCTTGTGTGTGTGCGTGTGCGTGCACGCCTAAACCTGACCGATGAATGTTTATAAACCCATGCTTTCATCCATTTGATTGGGAGACTGGCACTGCTTTGAGTCACCCCTCAGTTGAACAGTCATTCCAACCCCCTCCCTTAAATCGGCAGTGTATTTTATGACGCAGCAGGACAACGGCATTTCATAACTGGATTTCCCTCATATCAGTGCCCATACCTTGCAAATAGATTGCTCGAGTTTGAAACAGTAAAATGTGCGTTTTAAAATGTGGAACGTAACCAAAACCTAGAGGGTGATAGTGGTCTAGTACTCCTGTGATTTCGTGGTCTTGCTGATCGGTAGACTGCGAAATTACTCGAAAGATTGGGGCAGCATGCCGTTTTAGAACTCTACAGAGCTATTGAATCATTTGTAAAGTGAACAACTTTGCTCTTTAGATGAACCCGTGTTCGGTTCAAACCTCATTGAACTGTGTGAGAAGGAACAAACCAAGGTGCCAACATTTGTTACACGGGTAATTCGTGCGGTAGAGGCAAGAGGTAAGTATTGCTGGATTCCGTCTCCTCATTTGCCAACCGTGGACTCACCATTGTCTCAATGCTTGCACAGGTCTCGAAACCAATGGTCTGTATCGCAGGAGCGGGAATGGCGCTGCAATTCAGAAGTTACGCAATCAAGTCAATCACAGTAAGTAATATTATCTTGTGTAACATCCTTATTCATAGCACAGAATGTTCTCCCTCACTCGACTTTGTTGAAACAGGTGAATACTCGCTGAATTCCGATGAATGGGATATCTATGAACTTTCCGACAGTCTAAAGTTGTTCCTAAGGGAGCTTAAGGAGCCCCTTCTCTTGTACTCTCTCTACGACGATTTTAGTGAGTCCCACTTTGTTCCTTGCTGCATTGCATCCATACTGCGAGAAAGGGGTGTTGCGATTGCATCATTCTCATTTTCATACCTTCAAGAGGGCTTTAGTTCTACGATGGGTTCGGACTCAATCGACCAAAGTGTTAGCAAAATGCGCAGCATTTTGAAAAGACTACCTGAGTGCCACTATGCAACTGCCAAGTTGATCTTCGAGCACTTGAACAAGTGGGTTGACCTCACTATATAGATGGCTTCTCTTTTATCAGGAATCTAACAGACTTCCAACTTGGCCACTTTCAGAGTCGCGGCACTTGAAAGTGTCAACCAAATGAGCGCAAAGAATTTGGCCCTCGTATTTGGACCGAACATGATGTGGCAGGACACGCCGACTGACGATTATGCCCGCTTCCCTGTCGTTGGCTGTGCCTGTACAGAGTTCATGATCACCAACAACGCCGCTGTATTCGCCCCCTCCACTCAGCCAAGCTAATGCTCTTTCTACTGGCAAAATATCGGTAGAGGAGGTAGCACACATTGTTCCACTTGCGACCGTCTTTCAGAACTTTTCTAGTGGACGTGGAGCCCCACTTCCATCTCTTCTCTCCTCTCTCATCCCTTACCCACTTCTCGCCTTCTTCCTTTTCTACAGTGAATTTTATATTGCTTAATCACAATGCTTCTCGAATACCTTCTCATGCATCCATCCATCACCAATTTTTTTTGTTAAAACAGTTGCGATTATAATTTACAACAATCGTTGAGATAAAAGGTGTGAGTTCTTGCAGCTTCGCGCAAAAATGACTTGGAAGGCAAAAAATAACCTCTAATGCCATAAAAATTTATTTGCTTGCTTATTTCTCGACTCTGCATCCACTTCGAATCGGAAAACTTCAAGAGCGTACAAAGATATACACAGATTCAAGCACGTGGGAAGTTAACGCGACGTCGCAGGTAAGGAGTAAGAGTGCATTATGACATAGGTACAGAGAACTTTCAACGGGCTGACAATTCCCAATAACTAGAATCCTAAATTTGTTGACTGGTATTCGAGTCGGTGCTGTTGAGGATACAGATCTCAATCTAGATGAGGGAGAAGGTGAGAGAGGCAAGGTTGGACACTCGATGGGTACCTGTGCTTGAAGGAGAGAGAAAGATACGAACTTACCATTCGCAGACCCCGTTCTGCTGGGTCGATCATGAGTAGGCCGTGGGGCATAAATATTTGGTCATTGAGCTGAATAACACGGTAGGCAATCTTGTCCAGCATCTGAAAGCACACAACATATTGTGCGATTTATCATGCAAGCAAAATGACTCCAAAAGAAGCGTTCAGCCCACAAGGCTTCACTCTTGAGCTGTTCTGGCAGGACTCAGGTGAGTAGACTCGAACATATTAATAGGAGCACACACACTAGTGCTTGTACTTGCTGGAAGTAGTCACAGGTGTCAGATGCCAAAGTCAGTGAGTGGCATACAGTAATGGAATGAACAAGTTTCCTCTGATGAGTCTTGACAGTAGTAGTAACCCTTATAAGGCAAAATTAATTAGTCGATTCCATTTTTGGCATAAAAAGCTTCAAAAAAAGGTGTGACAGGCTGTCGGAGCTAGAGATGTGCCAAAGTATTTAGCTCCAAGTTTCTTAATCTGCTCAATAGTTGACAAAATGAGAGTGGAACAGTGCCTGGCGAGAAGTCCGTCCATGTGATACAGTAACCAGTAGACGACATCGCAGAACAGTTTTGGGGCAGTAATTTCCTCTGATGCGTTTGAATAAACATCGAGAGGACCAATAGATGCGACCAATAGGTTGCTAGGACATTCGTAATCATCAAAATCTGCGAATCAGTGATGTGAGTTGCCTACTTTGCCTCATCAAACAATACAGTCAAATATTGTTCTAATTGTCCACCTTTAAATCGAGATTTTGGTGATCGTCCTGTGACTTACGTTCCAGGCCTTCTGACTGTCTAGTTAAGGATACTTTCGAATCTCGATGCCTAGTAATTCTTAATGAATGCCATCACACTAGGGCTTATACGTTCAGTTGAAGAACTGTTGACGATGGAATGGTTGTTTGGACGAACCCTTTCATAGTGTGTAGGCATACAAAGGAAGAGGAGGTAGGCCGTGAGACAGCCAGTAAGGTTCTCGCAAACCACACCCGGAGTTAGGGCTTCGGCTTTGTCAAACATAGCATTCAAGTCTGATATGGCCTTCGCAAACTCCTCCGGTGGGATCTGAAATGCAAAGTGAAATTGTTCACTTTCATTGTTTTAATCAAGATGAAACTTCCTCATTCATTCATGGTGTGGGACAATGTAACCCACTTTAAGCAGGATCTGAAGTCGTCAACGCTTCAACTTTTAACTGCACGAAAATGGAGACTTGCTCAAGTGGTGCACAATGAATGCAAGACCATGGCTGCCGAGTTTGTAGACCAAGATGCGATGCTAGCCGAACTACGGTTTGATACGTTTACCGCGATCCCAAACACCAAGTATACATGGCTTTTCTTTATCATTTCATTCAACTAAATGATAGCTGAAAGCATCCACTTTGAAGTCATGGCAGCTGCGGTGAACGGCCCCACATTATTCGAGTTACCCAACCACTGCAGCTAACGCTTGATTATGAGCTATTGCATTCACCGCATATATCAGCACGACGAATTGCCAACTATACAACTCCAGTTTCCTCACAAAGATCTCTCTTTTGGCATAATTCCATTTCTTAGAGCTGAAAATATTCCCGTGGCCCGGCAACATAATGAAGGCCTGCTAGTGGTGGGAGACGTATTCCTTTCTCAACCCCAGCCCCTCCTTCCTATCACTGCTTCTCGGTGCTTCCACATGATTAATGCATTCGGAGCATCAAAAGCTCCATCAGAAGAGGGCTCAAGCTGCTGATGTTTTCAGTTGTCCACCGTATGATTGATACCTTACGATGATGAATGCTTGCACTTTCAGCAACATTACTGAAGAAAATAAGATGAATTATATGAGCCCACAGCCCAAAACACACGTCTAATAGTAAGAGATAAGACCCAGTCAATGGCTTTCAAGTAGAGCAGTCCAGCAAACAGCAACTCAAGTGTAAACGACAAATTCAATGCTGGCATCCAATTCAAGGAAACAGCCCCACTAAATATACTTGCCTTGCCCGTCAACCGCTCGGGAAGGGAGGTCTGAAATCGGACAGCGGTTCCCTCCGTGAAGTCTCGCTGAACAAAGACCCTTTGGAGATTGGACATTGAAGCCTGCTGAAGCAGGACCTCCGGATTGTAGGCTGGTGATGTTGTCATTATGATGTTTTCTCACTCCTCTGCATTGACTTAGACGGACAAACAAAAAAGAGCCAATAAGATTCATGTCTTGAGTTAATCTGACAACAGCATTTGAAATCTCAAACTGCACTCAGGTTATTTGGGTTAAGAAAT